CATCCAACCTGACACATATAACTTTAGCTCCTGATCATTTATACTGTGGTATAATACTCCATTGCATCAATACACTACATGTTTAGTTATTCATTTCCCTTTTGAAGGGCTTCCATTTTTTACTACTACAAACAAAAAATGCTGCTATTAATAATCCTATGCACAATACAATTTCAGGTTTTATGCCTAGTAATAGAACTGCCAGGATGTTTTGATATATATATATTTGCTTTACTAGAAAGTGTGAAACTCCTCTCCAAAGTAGGTGTACCTATTTATATTTCCTACATACTTGACAATCCTACTGGGAAAAACACCACTATAGCTTTCTTTGTCTTTCTCCTTTTATTAAAACATTTCTTTTTCCATTATAGCTTTATTAAAAAAATCAAATCATAGACTATATCAAATCTTTGAAGACATGGACTTTGAAAACCATCAAGCGATACAACCTAATCAGTCATATGATCAAGGTGTTTTGCAATTTCAGTCAAGACTTCATGGAATAATCACTGTTTTGAAGAACCTCTGAAAACAAATTGTTCTAATCCAATCCTGTGTCTGTCTTCTACCTGAAAAACTCTTCTTGTGAATTCCTGCTTATCTTTCAAGGTCAGTTTGATTCAACCTTCTTCTGCCCCTGCCTACCACCCTTTCTGCTCCCCCTCTCTTGTATCCCATGGCAACAAGGCTCCCACTTCAAAGAGACCACCGATCCACAGAACCCCTTCCATTTGCACTGTTACTCACCCACATCTGTCTTCCTGTCCTTATATCCATGCAGCAAGGATTTCATGATCCATCATTATAATTAGTCCTTAAAAAACACCCTTATCTCCTTTGCCCCACCCCCCAGGGATATTTATGCTACAAAACCCCAAACCTGGTTGAATCCAACCATCTTCTTTCTCAATCACTTCGAGTAGTTTACTTAGAATTCATAACCATGATCCCTAGCTTGGCACTCAACAGGGACCACTGGACCTGCAATCTCCCTCAGTAAGTTCATTTTCCTATTCTCCAAGATGAGTGTTTTCATACCTTCATGCTGCATCCAGCTCCTTCCCTACCCTGAACTTGACTCCATCTCTCTGACTTGTGTCTCACTAAGAAAATCAGAAGCCATCAGAATCAAACAGATCGACCAACCTACTTGCACCTATTTCCATATTCTCAACTGTTCTTTCTACTTGTAATCTGGATCCAGTTCCCTCTTGGCTTCTCAGTATCACTCCTGTATTTATCACTGTTTACGCCTGCAACAAGCTCTCCCTCTTCTGTCTCATTTCCATCAGCATAAAAACATGCCTTTGTTATCTTCCATTTAATACTCCCTTGACCCCCAGATACCTCCTCTGGCTTCATGTCTATGCACATTTTCACAATGAACTTCGTGGAAAAGTTGTCTCCATGTTTAGCTACCTCACCCCTTGGTCTTTTGAATCAACTCTGGTTGGACTTTCTCCTCCAGCATTCTGTGTTTGTGTCTAGTCTTCTAACTAGAGTGAATGGACATCTTTGGGAGAAAAGTAAATGGAGTGGTGAAGGAGAGGGGTATGCCCACCCAGCCAGTTTACGTGATACAACCTTGGTGATCACTGGGGAGGTAGATCCCAATACCAGATCACTTTCCCAATCTAGTGGGAGAGCTGAGAACCAGAGACAGAGCTGAGTCATGTGACACCCTGGAAGTAAATGTTATACTAAGGTTAAGTATGGAGGGGAAAAAAAGGTGAGAGGGCATTTCTGACATTTGGAGGTTAACTGAAGAAACCAGATATGAAGTGCAGTATCATGGAAAGTGCAGTATCATGGAAACTAGAGAGAGTGGGAGAGATAGTGAGGACCTGGAGGTTACAGGAACAAATAATGCAGGGAGAGTGGTTAATACCTATAAACGGTTTCCTCTAAAGAATAAAGGGATAGAAGGTAAAGCAAATGCAAAATAAGGTCATAAACAAGAATAAATCATACAGATGACACAGGACTTACCCAATGGCTATTAAATCTTCATGATGAGGTGAGCAAGTAAGACATAAAATTGTCCTGGGTTCAATAAAGAGGTGCTGGCTGTCATTTCTGTTAAGCCAGTAACAGAAAACTACTCCCTTTTCATCTCCAGATACTATTAAATCCTTTACTCGAGGAGACCAATGCAATGCTGATATTGTATGCTTTAAAACAAAACAAAAATGTATTGGCTTTTCATTTGTCAAGGCTAAATTTTTATTTAGTTTTTAACCTGTATAAATAAAGCTAGGCACATTATCTAGGTACTTAATAAATACTGTCAGGACCACTTGTATAGCAATAAGACATTATCACCAAGTGATAGGAGGACTTAGCTTACTGGGAATTGAAGAACCAAAATTTTTCCTTTGATAGATTAATGCAAAATTCTTAACTAAGATTAAGTGAGTCCTTTCGTTTCCTACATTCTCTTAAAAGGCAGGTGTATCAATTAATCATCTAGTTTGGCAACAAGTTTCATTCATTTGTAGTGTACATCAAGAGTCTTTTTCAGGTAAGGAACCAGAGAGTAAGTATCTTAGTCTGTGTGGGCCATATTGTCTCTGCTGCAACTACTCAACTCTGCTGTTGTAGCACGCAAGCAGCCAGGACTTAAAATTGTAGACAGCACTTAACTGAAGATGGTGGTTGTATTCCAATAAAACAATTTGTAAAAGCAGGCAACAGTACAGTTTGCTGACCTCTGGTCTGTATGCATTTCCTTCCAAAAAAGTTTTGAGGTACCTTACAATATAGAGCTTCTTATCTAATGAGCTAACACAGTAATAAAAGTTACCTTGCACAGATGAACTAGCAAAACTATACTTGAAGCAAGAGAAGCCTGGCACAGATACACAATTATGGTCTGAGAAACCAGTAAGCCATGGTACCTGATGGAGTGCATGTTCCATTACAACTGTTTTTGTCTCTACATCCCAGATTTTCACAGTCCCGTCGTCCGAGCTGGTGGCGCAGAGGTTGTATTGACCCGGATGATGAGAAAAGGTGAAGCCAGAGACCCTTTCGGTGTGTCCCACCAACTCCCCTATGACTACAAGCAAAACCAGACTCCAGGTTAAAGTGCTACCTAAGATTTCTGGTAGAATCATACTATTGTTAAATGGTTTGTGGGATCTCACTTATCCAATGGTATGACAAAAATATCCAGGGACTCATGATCCGAAACCCAAAGTTCTGGTATTGGCTCTGTCACGTGACTTCAGACAAGTCATTTTATCCTCTTGGGCCTAGGTCTTTTCAACTATAAAATGCTGTTTATATCCCTTTAAGTGCCTAGTTCTCAGGCTGAGGAGCAGCTCAAGTGAACTATGTAAAAGGGATTCTTTCTTAGATCTGGTCAGAAGTCTCTAGGAATAGAGTATTTGGCAGGATCTCGCTTAGGGCCTGTAGTTGTAGGCAGCCCCCAACCCCAGGGAGGCTCTCAGGGGCCCACACACACGGGGTTGGGGAGGAAGGCCTAGATATTATAAACGACTGAGATTAGACAGGGATAACTTTGCAGTAAGTCCGCGGATCCACGTGAGCGCGCCAGGAGGCGGGATCGCTCAGCCACAGCGTGGTGTAGAGCTCAACCTTGGAGACCGGGACGCGACTCAGTTTAGATGACTGAGCAGACCCTTCTCCCTGCCCAAGCCTCAGTTTCCCCATCTATAGAGAGAGGGGTGTCTGGAGACGCGCACTCGGCTCCCCGGGGGAACGCAAGAAGTGCAGGAAGGCTGGGGCTAAGAAGTGGGGGAATTACCTCGAAATGGGGGCGTCCCCGGGATCGCGTCCGCGCCCGGGCCCACGCGGACAAGGAAGACGGAGGTCCGCGCGGCGAAACCGAAGAGGCCCCCGGGCACTGCATCGCTGCATCGGGCACAATACCAGTTAGGGGAGGGCGGCAGCACACGCGGCTCCTGCCCCATGATCACCGGCAACCAGGGACGAGGGAAGCAACCTCTGCGGCAGACCGTTAGTAGCCTCACGCCGTAGCCGGGAGGGGGGCGGAGTTGGCCCGGAGCTCCGCCTCTTCGGGCCCTCCGCTACGGCGCGCGCGGAGGTCCAGGCTACACCGCGCGCTCTGGCTGGGAAGGGCGGGGCCCGGAGCCATGCGCTCTGCCTCCCAGCGCCGCTTGCGGCCCGAGTGTCGGGTGCTGCCTGAGCCCAAACCCGGGTTTAGGCATTCTCACTTTCTACAGCATGCCATCAAAATTTTTTTTAAAGCTCTGTGTGTGTGTATTGCTAGCTCTGAAGATGCTTTAAAGATAACTACAAGAAGCCAATTAACAAAAAGATGAAAGTTTGAAAAAGAAATCAAAAAGGGAAGAGTTTCTGCAACTGGGTCGAAAATCTGGCTCTGGGTTGTTGATACTCAAGGGTAAGCTAGTATTGCCAGTTGTTATCTGAGAGACTTTAACCCATCCTACATCTCTTCCCTCATTTGGAGAAGGAAGATGATAATCCATGCCTTGTTGGATTGCCAGAGGAATATCTGAAATTTAGTGAAACGCTTACCGGGCATATATGGTAGCAAGTGCCTGATGAATATTAATTCATCTTTTGGACGTCAACCTGGAGATTAGCGTTATCCTTTGTATTTGAACTGTTTGTTTTTTATTTTTATTTATTGAAGTATAGTTGAGTAACAGTATTATATGAGTTTCAGGTGTACAACATATTGATTCAAAATTTTTGTAGATTATACTCCATTTAAAGTTATTATGAAATATTGGCCATATTCCCTGAACTGTACAGTATATCCTTGTGGCTTATTTATTTTATAAATAGTAGTTTGTATGTTTGCTCTTTAGAAGAGCTTTCATTTATCTCTAGTGATCTTTACAAGCCTATGCCACAGAATACTTATGTCAGACTGTTTTACTGACGAGAAAACTGAAGCCCACCCGTTAGTTGGCTTGTTCACGATCTCTGTTTTCCTAATCTTTCCAGGTCATTTGTGAGGCGAGGCTTCACAGTTTTTCTGGATCCCCATGAATCTCCGGAAACTCGCTAATTTAGGGCGTTTATTAATTCATTCATCCGAAGCCAGGCTGGCGGGACCATGCTGGAAGCGCCAGCAGCGTGCTTACAATCTCCATGACGACACCTGGGGAGTAGGTGCCGCTCGGTCTCGCGATGAGAAAAAGGATGGGTGGGGAGAAAAAGGGTGGGTGGGGAGAAAAACCCGAGAATTGCGCATGCGTATTGCTCAGTCGGCGTCTGACCTCGGAGGCTTCCGTAGAGGGTGGGAGAAGATGGCTGCGGCAATACTGGAACGTTCGGGTAAGGGTTTCTTTAAGGGATGGAAGAAGGGAGTGGAGGTGAGTCTGAATTGACGGCTTGCGTTGATGTTGCAGGTGCGTTATGGTTGCAGAATCTGAGGGGGAAGCTGGCGTTGGGGTAAGTCTCTCGTCTTGGAGTTGCGAAAGGGTCAAGGCTCCCTTATGTGCCAGTCCGTTTCTGAGAGTCTGGGTGTCAGGCTCTGCTTTAGGCTCTGAGGCTAGCGAACCAGACAGCCAGAGTCCACTTTGCACTTCGTTTTTTCGCTGCTGCATTGCATGTACCTGCAGGGCTCAGGTTTACCTGTGACCGAGCAACATTGTAAATATGTCTTCCCAACACTCTTTTCTGTTCTTTCTGGTAAGATTAGACTCTCCCAACCATGTTGGGAGCGTACTTTTCAGGCTCCCTCTCTAGTTAACTTGCTTACATGAGCAGGGAGTGTTGTGGACAAATGCGGTTTACACTGAGCCTGACGTTGTGTTAAAATCTTCATACGCAACATTCTACGTAGAGTAGGTACTGCTGTACCCCTTTTTTCACACAAGGAAATTGAAGTCCCCAAAGTAAAATAAGTTGCCCAAGGTTTCTATTTATAGGAAGTTTGGAAGTTTTATACTATATTTTTTTACAGTATTCTTTGACCTTAGGACAATATCGTTCTTTAGGGTTAAGGAATGCAATTGAGTCAGTACTGGCAAGAAGTTTTCTCTGCGTCCTTCTCATAGGGCCTCTTCTGTAGTACAGCTGTTCGTATTTGGAGATTGATAATTGATTGTAAATTTTCTACTCAGTGCATTTGTTAAACTTAATTGAGGTTTAGTTCGTAGGTTTTGGAGACAGACTGTGATTTTGGAAAAGTTACTTATTCTTTCTAACCTTAAGTTCTCTTTCCTGATATGAGAGGAATGTTAATACCTACCTTATAGATTTGTAATGAGGATTAAGTGAGGTAATATATGTGAAGTGTTTTGCGCAGTGCATGGCATATAATGATCCCACCTTAAATCTTAACTGCCATCAGTGTTTTTATCATTATGAATTATTACTGAGTTTCCATTATATTTAGCCTTGTCTTAGATTCCTGGCTTGAGAGACGAAGATGTGGGCTAAAGAATAAAATTGAAAGTACTGGCACTTAGGATTTGTCTTCACTTTGCTATGTTGGATTGTCTTCTATCAGTTCACCCGTGGCCGTGCTGATGTACTTACTTTTTCTGAGAGTGCTTTGCCTTTACTTGTTTCTTGGCTTTTTCTCTGTCCTCACTTTCTGTCATTAACAGCAGTCTTCATTATTCACACCCTCTGTTTAAATGTTTTAACTTCATGAGATTTTCTCAGATCTCACTAAAAATGAAAGAAATTAATTTTTCCTTCCTTTTAACATGTGTTCCTTAAATAATGGCTTCATGTATAGGTAGGTGTCTGCTACCTTATATCTCCTGGACAGTTAGGAACAGTTCTTGCTTCTCTTTGTAGCTCCAGCATAGGGTCTTGCCCATTGGAATATTTTGTCAATTTTGGTTGATTTAAGTTGTCTGGCACTGACATGTATTGGGAAGCTCTGAGCAAGTAGCTGAAGCAGTTTGGCTTCAGCCTTTTCATCTGTGTAATACAAGAGGGTTGGATTTTGCTAGATAATCTCTAAGGCTCTTTCTAGCTTCAAAGTTACATAATTTTATGAAACCCTGTTCTGGACTTCCTAGTGGGGAAATGACCATATGAAAACTAAGTACAAAAGGTGAAAATAATGCTCATGATAACTGTGTAAGATCTTAGAGATCATCTGATTTAGTGACTGGATACCTAACTGCATACAGATACCACACAGATAATAGAAATGAATGAACTAGAAGTGGTCTTTGTAAAATAAGAGAGAATGGTAGGACCTCTGGCTGTCAGTAGCGTGCATTCCTCATCTAAAAGCATTGAATTGGATTAAGAAACAGTGGTGCTGACCGAATAAAACTTTTCTGCAGGCTGTATTTGGTAGTAGACTGACAATTTCCAACCTTTGAATTTCAAGTCTCCCATTCTACGTATGCATGCATTTGGGAAGTTCTGTGGCTTACTGAAGGTTACACAGCAAGGACATGGTAAATCTAGGATCTAAACAGAAAATTCTCTGGCTGTAAGTCGTGTTCTCTGACATCACAGGAAAACAGTGATGAGCCCTGTTGGGTGAGTCTGAAAGAGCTGATTTTAAAGTTCTAGTTAAAAGAGTGAAGAGTACATTTTAGTGGTTTAGAAATAGAAAGGTCAGTGTAAAAGTTTGACAGCTCTAGTTACTAAACTGTACATAAGTTAAAATTCTCCACAAGAAAGCCAAGTTGGAAATGTCATGAATCAGCAGTTTGGTGGAAAAATGATGACAGCAGTGTGATATATTTGAATAAACATTGGGCTGCAGGTGACAGAGCTGGATTTTAGGTCGCTGTCAGGGTCATGTGTTGTGTGTGGCCTTAGGCCATTTGCTTAACTTCTCTGAGGCTCAGTTTCCTCATCTCAAGAAATGATATTTAATAATATTTAACTTCAAGGGTGATTGTGAGAATTAAGAGACTAGTACATAAAATGTCTATCATAGTGCCTGGCACTGTGGAGGTGTGGTGATGGAGATGCTACTGCCATGAAGTTTTTTGAGAGGAGTCAGATTTTATGCTGAAACCAGTCAGTAGCTACTCAGCACCCCTAGATGAGATTACGTATTTCATCTGTCAGCCCTACTTTTATAGGACGATTCGCAGAAGATAAACTGAAACATACATTAGGTTACTTTTTTATTTAATCGAGTCACTCTTAAGGGACTTTTCCAAAGTAAAGGGTAGAAATTATCTCTGGTTTTTATGTGTTTATGCTTTCAGTGTTCTGATTGCCATGACCACATTTGACAACCACATTGATGTGTACTCTTAATTAAGTCTTACCCTGTGATCTGAGAGGTTGTTTTAGGACAGTGGTTTTTAAATTTGAGTCACAGACCCCTTTGAAATTATGACAAAAATCACAAAACGTGTTCCCAGAAAAAATGCATATGACATTCATAGTTTGACTTGTAATTTCATAATCCTCAATCTAGGAATCTTTGCACTGGGACAGCATAAGTAAACATAAGTAATAGTACACATAATAATAATAATAAACATAACTACACAATAATGATTAATGGTGTAAAGTATGTTGGAAAATATGTCAGGCAGTGACCCTTGTGTTAATGGGTGAAATATTTCCCTTGATTTATTTTGAAAATTTCAGTCCTACAGGAAAATTGAAAGAATCCTTCATCTGGATTCATCAGTTGATAACATGACTTTCAGTGTTTCTATAAATATACATGCTTTTTTCCCCTGAGTCATTTGAAAGTGAGTTGTACACATTATGGTACTTTATTCCTAATCACTTCAGACTATATCTCCTAAAAGTGAAGACAGTCTGCAAGAACTACAAACCACGATCAAAATGGTGCAGTTTAATGATCTTTTATTTTAATGTTTTAGTTAAATAGATTTAGATGGAAATCCAGTATATACTGACATTTACTTTTGAAAAAGAAAAATTGACCATTAGTTGTAGCTTGTCAGTAAGCCCTAAAATGGCCATTCCCTAAAATGAGGAGACCTTATAGATGGACATTTTCAGTTCCATAATATTTATGTTCATTTAGTGAGTCTCTTGTTTACGTGACCCTTTATTCCTTTCAAGCACTCTCAAGACTCCTCTTTCCATTAGAGTTTGTATCTGGTTGATCTGGTTTGTATCTGAAAAGTTTCTGTATTAATTTCTTAAGGCTGCTATAACGAATTACCTCAAACTGGGTGGCTTAAAACAATGGAAATTTATCCTCTTGTATTTCTGGAGGCCAGAAGTCCAAAATCAGCAGGGCCATTCTCTCTGGAAGCTGTAGGGGAGAATCCATTCCTTGCCTCTTCCAACATCTGGCTTGTCTTCAACTTACAGTTCCCTCCATTTGTCTGCTTCAAAACTTTGCATCTCTCTCATTAAAATACATGGGATTACATTTAGGACTGAACAAGGTAATCCAGGATAAGCTCCTTATCTCAGGATCCCTAACTTAATTACCT